TAGACCGGCCAGAGGCCAGGCTAGACCGGCCAGAGGCCAGGCTAGACCGGCCAGAGGCCAGGCTAGACCGGCCAGAGGCCAGGCTAGACCGGCCAGAGGCCAGGCTAGACCGGCCAGAGGCCAGGCTAGACCGGCCAGAGGGTGGCCCACCAGGCAGCTGCTTGGAGCGGCCCGCAGGCCCACATACCCCCCACAACCAGGATGGGCCGGAACTTCTACTCTAAAACAAGCTAGTGTGCCCTAGAAGTCCACGGACGTACCAGCAATAAGGCGTATGCTCGCAAGTAGGTCGTGTAACAACCACAGACCTCTGATGGTTATACAGTGTTCCCCGATTGTGCCTATAGCACCACTGCACTCCACTGGTACTATCCCGCAAGTTCTTCCAGATAGGCGGGACCCAAGAGCCAGAGCTCAAACCCTGCAAGCACAGCCAGGAGCCTTACCAGGTGAGTACAGAACCAACACCACAACCCCCACAAAAATTTATACCAAAACAGAGATGCAGAACTAGGAAACAGGATTGGTTCAATAGAAATTGCAAGAGGGCTAGAGACCGAAAGACACAAAAATGGAATCAATACAGGAAGAGGCCAAACCCCCAAACATACCAGCGATAAAAAAGATGCGAGAAACAACTACACGGCAGTGAGGAGAGAGGCAGAAAGAAATTTTGAAAAAGGGATTGCGGACAAATGTAAAACAGAACCAGGTCTATTCTATAAATTCATAAACAACAAATTGCAGGTAAAGGATAATATTCAGAGGTTGAAAATGGGAAATAGATTCACGGAAGATGAAAAGGAAATGTGTGAAACACTAAACGAAAAGTTCCAAAGTGTGTACAAAATGAAATCTTTAGGGAACCAGATACAATAAGAATTCCAGAGAACAACATAGAACACATAGAGGTGTCTAGAGACGAAGTGGAAAAAATGCTCAAGGAGCTCGGTAAGAACAAAGCAGCTGGCCCAGATGGCGTTTCACCATGGGTTCTGAGAGAATGTGCATCTGAGCTCAGCATTCCACTTCACCTGATCTTTCAGGCATCCCTGTGTACAGGAATCGTAGCAGACGGGTGGAAACAGGCTAACATAGTTCCAATCTACAAAAGTGGCAGCAGGGAAGACCCCCTCAATTATAGACCTGTATCATTGACAAGTGTAATAGTGAAAGTATTGGAAAAACTAATCAAAACTAAATGGGTAGAACACCTAGAGAGAAATGATATAATATCAGACAGACAGTATGGTTTTCGATCTAGAAGATCCTGTGTATCGAATTTACTCAGTTTCTATGATCGAGCCACAGAGATATTACAGGAAAGAGATGGTTGGGTTGACTGCATCTATCTGGACCTAAAAAAGGCTTTCGACAGAGTTCCACATAAGAGGTTGTTCTGGAAACTGGAAAATAATGGAGGGGTGACAGGTAAGCTTCTATCATGGATGAAAAATTTTCTGACTGATAGAAAAATGAGGGCAGTAATCAGAGGCAATGTATCGGAATGGAGAAATGTCACAAGTGGAGTACCACAGGGTTCAGTTCTTGCACCAGTGATGTTTATTGTGTACATAAATGATCTACCAGTTGGTATACAGAATTATATGAACATGTTTGCTGATGATGCTAAGATAATAGGAAGGATAAGAAATTTAGATGACTGTCATGCCCTTCAAGAAGACCTGGACAAAATAAGTATATGGAGCACCACTTGGCAAATGGAATTTAATGTTAATAAATGTCATGTTATGGAATGTGGAATAGGAGAACATAGACCCCACACAACCTATATATTATGTGAGAAATCTTTAAAGAATTCTGATAAAGAAAGAGATCTAGGAGTGGTTCTAGATAGAAAACTATCACCTGAGGACCACATAAAGAATATTGTGCAAGGAGCCTATGCTATGCTTTCTAACTTCAGAATTGCATTTAAATACATGGATGGCGATATACTAAAGAAATTGTTCATGACTTTTGTTAGGCCAAAGCTAGAATATGCAGCTGTTGTGTGGTGCCCATATCTTAAGAAGCACATAAAAAAACTGGAAAAGGTGCAAAGACATGCTACTAAGTGGCTCCCAGAACTGAAGGGCAAGAGCTACGAGGAGAGGTTAGAAGCATTAAATATGCTAAAACTAGAAGACAGAAGAAAAAGAGGTGATATGATCACTACACACAAAATAGTTACAGGAATTGATAAAATCGACAGGGAAGACTTCCTGAGACCTGGAATTTCAAGAACAAGAGGTCATAGATTTAAACTAGCTAAACACAGATGCCGAAGAAATATAAGAAAATTCACCTTCGCAAATAGAGTGGTAGACGGTTGGAACAAGTTAAGTGAGAAGGTGGTGGAGGCCAAGACCGTCAGTAGTTTCAAAGCGTTATATGATAAAGAGTGCTGGGAAGACGGGACACCACGAGCGTAGCTCTCATCCTGTAACTACACTTAGGTAATTACACTTAGGTAATTACACTGCCCCGACCAAAACAAACTCCACGGCGCATGCGCATGACACGCTGGCCGAACCGCACAACCCTCTCAGCGGGAAGGCGCCAACCAGGACTACTGCACTACCAAAAAAGTAGCCAAAAGAGGAAGCAGGAACAATAAAACTGGCCTACGAAGCAAAGACAGAGCCCAAAAAGGTACCCAACCAGGCCACAAGCGGCCCAACAAGGCTACAAGTAGCCCAACATGGCTACAAGTAGCCCAACCGGCCCCAAGAAAAAAAGTTTTCTACATGTAGCCCAACCGGACCACAAGTAGCCCAAACCGGGCCACTGGCCACAAGCAGCCCAACTGGGCTACAAGTAGCCCAAAACGGCGACAAGGACGAGGAGTCGACAGACGTTCCAACAATGTGGGAAATAGCGAAAACCTTCCCGAACCCTCGAGAACACAGAAGCCAACACTAGTCCTGAAGGCACACAAAGGCGCTGGCGCACCCGAGACCAGAAGTCACGTAGAACCCCAAGAACAGGGAAACATGACGAAAACACCGTCCCAAAAAGGGTGGAAGGAAACATCCACCCACAGGACGGAACCAACCGACTCAAAGGCCAAGGAACCGAGCCCGGTGAGGGGCCAACGCCCAACAGCACGTACGGCGAGTGGGGAGGAAAGACCCCACTCAGCGTAACCACAAGCCCCACCTAGAGGGGGATAAAACCCCCCACGGGGTCCTACGGGGCCAAGGCCCCCCAAGTCAGCCCCTCCCTAGCCCTGGGAACCTACACGACAGGCCCCGGGGCTGAACCGTACCCCCAAAGCCCCGGCTGTACCAAAAAACCGGGGCAGCCGCGAAAACACTAAGGAAGGGAGCCCACTGGCAGACTCTTACAACACGGCTGGAGGAACAGGCTCAAATGCCCCCGTCACTACCCCGGAAGGGGAATTCCCCGAGACTGCCCGAGTCTCAACACCATCAAACCCCGCCCCGAACCTACAGACAGTAAGGAACTGGATGCAGGCAGGAAGGGGAATCCAGGGGAAAGACATGGGGGCGTAGAAGGAACCGAAGCAACCAACACCCCCAAGTCCCAACAAGAACCAAAACGGGGCAGCCCCGGGGCTCCTGAAGAGTAAACCACGAGAGCGTTGCCACCACTAAGGCTCAAAGTGCAACACCCCTGCTGCCCGCACCCGCTTAGTCAGCACAACTGGGTAACCGAGCCACAACGAGCAACCAAACTCGCAGGACTCCGGGTCGAAGGTGTCACCGACCCCACAGGCAGCAGATGGAGGCAAAACAGAGTCACCCAGAGACAAAGGGTGAGAGCAACCCTCAAACTCGCTGGAAGCGAGGGGGGGACTCTGGGGTCACATCCATCGGACCCACGCGCCCCCAGGGGTTTCCCAGGGTCCCGAGCGTTTACTATAGGAGGAATCGCGCTCAGGTAATCCCAGGCAGGGTACTACTAACTGGCACCCAAAGCTACCAAACAACTTTCTAAGAGCTGAACCCCCGGGACGTGTACACTCACGGGGACCTAGCAGGGGGTATCACCAGAAAATACTCAGAACACAAGGGACACAAGGGGCAAGAACGAAGGCAGACCCCCCCACCAGGTAGATAAACAAAAAGATAAAGAAAACCCCGCAAGAGGACAGCGTACCCAAGCGGAACAGAGCCGGCTGCCATGATTGGTAAAGACAAGCTGCACAGTACCCTGCGCCCCACCAGTGCAAAACTACCCCTTACTCTAAGGCGAACAAGGGAGACAGAACACCACCCGAGCACACAAAGAGCGGCCGAAAACCAAGCAGTAAACGGCCTAGCAGGGGCAGGACCCAAGGAACTTGTGGAAGGTGGCCTAAAGCCCTAGGGGCAGTACTTACAGGGCACCTAGGGAAGGGAACCCTAGGCGCATGCAGCCCGAGTACTGGAGAATCACTCCCGGCTCACGCACCACCTAGAAAACAGACACCACATTCTAGGTACAGTGCTGAAACAACCACTGGAGCCGGAGCACATAACCGGTGCCTATAGCATCAGCCGAAGAACTGATGGGTGGATAGCCGGCGTGGGAGGTCTGGGGCTCCCCCTTCCCCCTCCCGGGGAGGGGGGAGCTGCGCAGACAGCGGCGTGGTGACGTGTGACGTCATATTAGTTTGCTTGTTTTTATTGAGGAGTTCTATCCACTAGTTCAGCTTTAGGTAGCAATTTTCACCAGAATAGGGGTTTGTTTTGGAATGCTTACCTCTCTGGATGCTTGGCCCGGTCGATGGCAGACATAGAATGCTTCCAACCACATAGGGGTTTCTATAGGCCATTGCTCCCCTTGCCTCTCTGAGGGGGCCAGGTTCTGGCCGTGGTCCCCGGTAGGCCCTAGAACTCCATACACATGACTGATGCCAAAGTCTGACATTAGCATATCAGCCTGGTAAAGCTCCGGGGAGCCGACGGGGCTCTCCCCAGAAACTAGAATTTGATACTTAGTTGATAAACTTACAAATTAAGGACAATATACAAAAAGCATTAACTAATAACCTCTTCATCTGAAGCATCAGGATACCCATAGCGAATATTTTCCAAAATGGATGTAGCAAACAACACAGGCTCTTGATTGATGAATCCAATAACACGTCCCCGCAACCATGAAGGATCCAAGGTATGAAGGTCAACTCCATCTAGTGTTATAGACCCACTCTTCACATCATAGAATCTGACAAAAATAAAGAGTTGAATGTAGAAAACCAGCATTGAAGGTAATGAAACACCAGTTTCTGAGTGAGCCCCGGAGGCTCCTAGAAGCTATCCCACTATCCTATTTGGAGTCATCAGTCACAGAGTTCTAGATGCCTTCTGGGACCAAAACCAGAACTTGGCCCTCTCAGAGAGGTGCAAAGAGCATCTGTGCTTATAAAATTCCTATGAGTACTTTACACTTAACCACAGTGCTGCGCAGCTATAATATATGACATTCCTGTAGTGCATCAAAAATAATTTTTTGCTTGTTTCCTATATTATTAAAATGCAGTGTCTGATCAAGGAAAACTAAAAAGCAGTGTTGAATGTAATGAAACGCCATTTTCTGGTTGAGTCCCGGAGGCACTCGGAGCTATCCAGGCTGATATGTATATCCCTAAATTTTGGCATTAGTGTGAATGGAGTTCTAGGCCTACCGGACACCATGAACCAGAACTTAGCCCCCTCAGAGATGCACAAGGAGCAATGGCCTATAGCATTGCACATGGGATTTAGAGTACTGTATATCTGTACTCTGGTGAAAACGACTAAAATAGACAAACAAGTGGACAGAACTCTTCAAATGAAAATGAGCAAACGAGTATGATGTCACATGAGCCACGCCGCATGTCTGCGCAGCTCCCCCCTCCCCAGGAGGGTGAAGATGTCCACGGTTGTTCCGGCAATATTTCTTATAGTCGCTGGGAGGACGTTGAACAGCTGCGGACCTCTGATGTTTATACAGTGTTCTCTGATTGTGCCTATGGCACCTCTGCTCTTCACTGGTTCTATTCTGCATTTTCGTTTTTTTCTGGCTAGACCGAATAACCCTGCAGATGACCTGAGAGACCCGAACCCGAGAACAGGGAAGAAGGGAAACCAGATCAACACTTAGCGCGTCCCCAGCCACAAAGGCCGTGGTGTGCAAAGAACAGCGGAGAGCCACAACTGGACACAACACACGATGCACCCCCAGCATAACCAACAGTGCATCAACAATCCAAGGACCCCTCTGGAAAGCAGCAGTCTCATTCTTCACCAGAAAAGGAGATGGCTGCAAACGAACAAACCTATCACCACGACCAAAAGAGCAGACACCCCTTCACCGGAGGAGAGCCTGAAGCTTCCCAACCCGACCCCCGGAGGCCAATGCCAACAAGAAAAGAGCTTTGGAAAAAAAATCCTGAACTGAAGGGGCAAAACAAACTGAGGCAAAGACAGAAATGAGAGCACTCTGTCCAAAGACCAGGACAGCTCAGGTGGTGCAGGAGCAGGCCGGAGGTGAAACAACGCCCGAGACAGCTTGCAAAATGGTGTTGAAGTAACATCAATACCGAAAGCAAGCTGCAGCGGCTCCGCCAATGCTGCACGATACGAGGCGACAGTGTGTGTCAAGACGATGGTCCCAAACCTCTACGAGAGAAGGACAAGACCAAGACCAAAAATGCAGGATACCTAGGAAGAGACAAAAAAGAAAAGGAAGGACCGCCAGTTAAACCCCTTACCATCGTCAAGACGCAGCATGCAGTTGGGACACCATCAACAAAGCCACCTGAGCACCAAAAAGATGGTGAGAGACTCGAGTCAGAACTACCAGACTTGAAGACTCGAGGAAAAGACCGAACCAGCCCCTTCACAGACCGGACCGATCATTTGAAAGAGGCGAACCAAGAATCCAAACCCGGCGAGCCGGGTAAGAGCCAACCCAAGCAAGCAGAAACACCCCGTTCGGGAGGAACCGTGACCCCTAAAGGACCAACAAGTCCAATAACGGATGACAAAGAGAAAAACCTGCTTGTAGAAACTGCCGAACCCCAGACTCTGCAAACAACAAGGACAAAATGGTGACGAAAACTTAAGAGCCAGGGCCCCAGGCAGAGGCCAACGAGGAATGAGCACCACGAGCGGAATCACGAGACCCGAAGCAAAAAAAGCTACCCCGCAACCTGCAGGAACAGCGCAACCAGCTCCACCAAGGCAGAACGGCGCACGCGTCGCAGAGTAATATATGAGGAGAACTACTCAGGACGTGTTCTGCACTAAAATAAATATGTACTTTCTGGAAAAGGAACACAAAGAAAAGGCTGTAGCCAGGCCCGTAATTCTAGCTCCTCCTGTCCCAACGAAAAGGAACTGAAGGGGCAGGAGTGGTTGACTGGAAATCTACATCCACCTGCAGACATTGCAACACAGAAGCTGGCAGTGACATACAAGGAGAAGATGAAAAAACCCAGTTTTATAACTGAACACTGAGGCAGTCCAATATCAGGGAACTGAATATGAACATAGTTCAACCTAGCACCAACATCAGTATAGCCAATATGCACATACCCTAAACATGGTCCAAGCACCGGTAGCTAGGAACAAAAGAGTATAATCAATGTGACGAACTAATAAGACCCAGGCAGTTATCAATAATGTAATGTACATGATCAACTACATATACAGAGACCCCAGTGTATATATAAGGGTGGTTATCTTGAGGTTATCTTGAGATGATTTTGGGGCTTAGCATCCCCACAACCCGGTCCTCGACCAGGCCTCCTTTTTGTTACACACCCCCCAGGAAGTAGCCCGTAGCAGCTGTTTAACTCCCAAGTACCTATTTACTGCTAGGTAACAGGGGCATCAGGGTGAAAGAAACATTTTGCCCATTTGTCTATGCCACCACCTGGGAACAAACTCCGGAACTTCAGGATTACGAATCCGAAGCGCTGTCCACCCAGCTGTCAGGCAGGTGCAGCCAAGGCACTGAGCGAAAGGCAATGAATGAGTGTCCAGAGAGCATTGACTGAGTCTATGAATGCGTGTCCAAATAGCATTGACTGAGTCTATGAATGCGTGTCCAGATAGCATTGACTGGGTTAATGAATATGTGTCCAGAGTCGAAAAAAATTCAGTCGCTGAAAGATTAAACAGAAGGCACCAAAATTCGGGGCTACGCCCCACAGTGTGACAAAGAACAAGATATACGGACATAGTAAGATCACGTTAAGATACACTCAAAGTGACCAAGCAACACACTAAAACAATACCCAACACTCATCTAAAAATCGAGAACCACCACCTGGCTGACAGCGTTGCCAGACTGTATAATCTCACCTGTAGAGTGTAGACACTTCCGTATCACGACATAGCTGATCTGTGTAATATTCCAGGAGCATCACTAGTAGATTATGTCCAGAGTTGCGTGCACAGGAGGAGAAGATGAGGTGTAGTGTAGAGGTGGAGGCGGCGCCACTACGAGCCACCCCACACCCGTAAGCAGAGAAAAGAACTAGGTGTTTTCCTCATATATAAAATCTGGAACACCCCCCAGTATCTAGGGGACTATGACTGGAGAGATAAGATGAGCGAGAACGGGGTATAACCCACGATAAAGGACGCTCACTAATAGGTGAATCCGCGATAAAGAACTATAAAACGATCACCCTCGGCCCATGAACCTGAGGTTTGAACTGCACCACCCGTCTGTCGGGGAGAGTGCCAAAAAGGTTTATTTAACGATTATTATTAATGTTGAAACAGTACGGAGGGACGATGTGATTACAAAATAATGAGATAAAGAATCGAAAGATGACAAGTAAGACGGAAGAGGACTAACGAGTCCGAGAAAGGACTGGAGGGAAGCCTCACCGGAAGGTTACGGACGTTTCAATAATATTGTAAGTATCGAAAATCTTCCCGAACCTGTGAAAATTTTGATAACCAAGTACAAAATCACGGAGGCTCATATGGGCCCATTGGCATCTGTGTCCAATGGTCATGCAGGATCCCAATACGATTTGAACATGATTGCGACATGATGTGGAAGAATACATGTCCAAGATAAGAAGATTGAGAAAGCGGTTAAAATTACCCATAGGAAGGACGGAACTGATGAACCCGAAGGGATATGGAACCGAACCCGAGGAGGGGCCGATGCCCAGTCGTATGCAGCGGGAGGAAGGAAAATCCCACTCCTAGTAACAGAAAGCCCCCGCTCAGAGGGTTGGAAAACCCAGGCAGGGTCCAACAGGGCCCAAAACCCCCAAGTCAGTTCCTCCCCAACCCCAGGAAGCTCCACATCAGGCCCCGGGGATGAGTCATTCTCCAAAGCCCCAGCCTCACATGAAAAAAGCTGGGGCAGCCAGAAAAGCAGGAAGAGAAGGGGCCCACTGGTCAGACCCTGGTGCTATGGCTGGAGGAACCGACTCAAATGCCTCCATTGCCACCCCGGAAGGAGCATCCCCTGAAACCACTCGAATCTCTGAAACCTCTAAACCCTGCCCTGACCCCGAAGCCCTCAGATGCTTAGAAGCCGGCAGCAGGGTTTAGATGGACAGAATAAACCATAGCAGAGGAAGAACATGGGGGTGCGGACTGAACCAAGGCCAACGCAACCAATACCACAAAGTCCGGGTCCCTATAAGCAAAGCGGAGCAGCCTCGGGGCATCAAGGGAAGCAACCCACCTAGCACGTTGCAGCAACCTAAACCTAGCTGGTCGGCCGAGCGGACAGCACGCTGGACTTGTGATCCTGTGGTCCTGGGTTCGATCCCAGGCGCCGGCGAGAAACAATGGGCAGAGTTTCTTTCACCCTATGCCCCTGTTACCTAGCAGTAAAATAGATACCTAGGTGTTAGTCAGCTGTCACGGGCTGCTTCCTGGGGGTGGAGGCCTGGTCGAGGACTGGGCCGTGGGGACACTAAAAAGCCCTGAAATCATCTCAAGATACAGTAACCTCAAGATAGCCTGCAATGCGTGAGGCGCATGCACCCGAATAATGTCATCAGTAGATTGGGTGAATTGAGTCACAAACAAGCAACAATGCTCTCAGGACTCCTGGTCGAAGGTGTCACTGACCCATCAGGCAGCAAAACAGAGGCAAAAATTACGATCGTCGCCCTGAGACAAGGGGAACTTTAGTCAATGGAGTTCAAACTATTGGAGACCACCCTCAAACTCGCACAAGGTGAGAGGGGACACAAGGGGGGT